CACGAAGTCGTCGAGCCAGCAAGCAGCCGTATTCAGGTCGACCCTTTTTATTTTGCCCAACGTGTCACGAAGACTCCCGGGTTTTGACGCCTTGCGGCTACAACCGCGGACCTCACATTAGCGCTGTGCGCTAGTCGAGAGCCGCGGAGGTTCACGGTCGACGTACGGTGGCCCAGTTCGCCGACCGCGCGTCGTCTACGGACCACGAGCACCGGGACCGAGGTCCCGTACCAAGAAGACAGGCCGAGTGCCGCCTGAATTCGCCTGGTCTGGCTGTGCGCTATCCCCACACCGAGTGTTTCTGGTTACACTCAACCTCCGATGATACTACACCGGTATAGCGGCTAGACGCCCGAGAGGAACCGACAACGTACCGGTGACTCGCGCCCCCGGGACGTGGCGGCCGTTCATCAGAGGTTTTCGCCTGTCAGCGAGAACTTAGAATAAGCATCTATTGACTTAACCCCAAAGTATTCGTAAGAATACAACCACCACGATTCCTACCGGCAACGGACGTCCAGGGGCGTGAACCATCACTGGACGCCCGCGGTGAGTGGCGTCGTTACCGACGGGGCCCCACTCACTCCCGTGGCACTGAAGCGTCTTCAGTCAGACTTTCGCCCCCTCAGAGTCTACCAGTTCTGTCGGCAAAACGGGCATTGGTTTGCCTTAACCGCGGACGGGCGTCCGCGAGGTGCGAAATTAATCTCGGCCACCACCCTTTCGAACTATCTTCAGCAAGGACCCGTGTCCTTGGGTCAGTCTGGCCAAACGCCCCGACCCGGATGCCTGCCGAGCCGAGGCGCCCAGCCCAAGCTGACGACAGCCCTACCTTTCAGTCAAAGGTGGGACACTTTGCGACGACCACCCTCGCCTACCGAATTAGGGACTCTAAGCAGACGAGCCATCAGCCGCGAGCCCGTAACACTCACCGCAGTGTCCCAGAGACATGCCCAAACCCGGCTTACGCTGAGACGCCCGGCTGCTGGACGGAGCGAACTCCGGCGCCCGTGCCCTCAACTCATATTGAGAGCACCACCGCCTGGGTCGGTTGCCCAGCCGGCGACCGTGAACCGGCCCAGAGGACATACTGTCCGGAACTACGGGTCATTTAATCGAAGCTGTCCGCGGCCGGTTATTAGTTATTCGCCGGCTACCCGACTCGGAAGCTACCGAGGGAACCGGGCTTTCCTCTATCCGCAACCCGAGGACGCGATCTATACCGTGCGTCCACGGTCGCGAAACTCACAGTAGGCGGCTGTGGTTTCGCTAGATTGCCCAACGTGTCAGTGGGTGGTTTAAAAATATAATATTGTTCACCAGCTGTCTTGTATTTGTACTAATTTTAAGTTGATTATTTTGGGCGCCCGTTACTTATTTATAATTATTATATTTTGTTACACACATTAACCGTGTTTCCGACCTCACATTTGAGTTGTACGCATATATTGAGTAACCCGACCCCGCTCCAGCCTTCAACACTTTACGCAATTCGTTGCCGACAACCGAACAATTCGTAGGATCGGTAACGGCGCAACACTATTGGCTATGGGACATTTGGGCTTATAGTAGTCGGCGACCGAAAAGACTAGCTAACTACTATTCGAACAAGCTCGAGCCAGTCCAAATGCGCCTTTTTTCATTTTTACGACAATGTGCCATAAGTTTGCGACGAAAATTTGGATTTTTGAAATTTGTTTTATGACAATTATTCTGTTGTATACATAATAAATTTCTTAGTGTTAAAAAACTTTTTTGATCTATGATTTTAAAATCATATGCTATTATTAATAACTGACTTTATTTTATATTATACCTATTACTATAGATAAAATATCTATAGGATTTTGGAACCGAAAAAACCCAAACCTTTACATCAAAATATATATTTCGGTTCATAAAAAATGTATTTAAGGCTTACAGTCCGGTTTTGGTAACAAGATTTTCAAAAGGTTTTGGTCCAAAACCGGCCTATCATGGTACGGTTCCAGTCCCTGCCTTGTGTATGTACCTATTGTTAAATTTTTTTTAAATTATTTTACTATTATATATTTAATTTGTATGATGTATTATTCATAGATTTTTTTTTACGTGGGAAAAAATGTTTAAACTACTATTTAACAACAATACAACATAACATTAAAGCGTTTAATAATATTGGTTGGATGTTGTTAATATTACATTATATGAATTTATATAATGTGTACCTACCGACCCTTTATATTTTAATGTATTTTAATATATTATATAGGTATATATATATATATATTATTTAAATTATAAATAATTTTTCATTTAGATGTAAATGTGTTACTGTGTTGTGAGTCATAAATTACATTTAAAATAAAAATAATAATTGAATTACATATATCAACGCATATTTCAGTGCATATAACTTTTTTGTGCATATTTTCGTGCATTTTTGATAATATTTTAATGCATTTTTGCTTGCATATTTTCATGATTTTCAATGCAACAACTTCCGAGCCCTAGTTATGACTTATGTATACAAATTATGCATGTATGTATGTAGTACCTATATAATAGTTTGCATTATGTATTTAATACATCTATGTATATAGAATTGTAATATATGAATTAGGTAAGTCTATTTTAACATGCATATATATATATATATATGAATTAATACTAGTTGGTTAGTAAATGGTTAATGTAGTTCAAAATAGGTACATCAAAAGTACATAGTATTGATAGACTGATAGAGAGACAATAAATTAATTAACTTAATTAACTTTTCACATATTAACATTAACGTCTAAATGTAATTACTACAGTGTAATTTTAAATAAGTTAAATGATTGAACTTTTGATATGATTTTATGTTGTAGTTCAAACATGGTTTGAATTATTAATATTATTTTAAAAGTATTTACTATTATAATTTTTTTGATTGTTACCTATAGTTTCTTTGTATTATTATTAAATTAAGTCAGAGAATGACGCTTCGTATAATGTATTTAAAAATTTTAACTAAACTTTTATTTTTAATATATTTTAAATGATGTATTTTTTTTTTTTTTTTAATTAATAAATATAACATCACTAAATATTAGCAAAATTACACATATAATTATCTGATATTTATCTAAGAAGGTCAAGAGTAAAAAATTCTTAAAAGTTTTTGAAATCTCGGGGAAAAAGAAAAGAAAAAGTTTAACATTTTATTTGTTGTGCCAAAAAACGCATAAATTTAATACAAGGCTCCTGATAAATAACATAAATAGCAGTTGAAGAATATTAGAAATACATGTGCATATTTTTTAATAACAAAATAATTAAAAAATTTTAAATTTGATAAATTGTGCACGTGTTTTTTATATTTTTCAAAAGAGACACACGTTATTTAAAATATTTAATTTTAAAAATATGTATTTAAATACATTTACAAGTCTGTATTTAAGATATTTTTGATAAAACAAGAACAAAGGCGCTTACTCAGCTTAGAGATTGTAACACAAAATATTTTTTTTTTCAAATAATTTCTTCAAAATAACAACTATTCTAAGTTCATAAATCAGCCAGAGCCAGCACAGACAAACATATTTTCATTCATATTTTATATAGATATTATTTGTAAATAACTTTTCAATTAATATCTTTTAACTTTTTAACAAAATTGAAATATTCATAAGTAACATTTACTTTTCACATTATATGCACCTATTTTTCTATTTTGTTTTTGGTGGGAGTGGATTGGAAAATTATCTTAGTCAAAAATCTAACTTTAAATATTTATAAAACATATTGTGACAGTTTATCATCGATACTTATTAAATGATTAAATGGGTTATGAAAAGCATATGAGGAATCTTGTATTACATTTTCAAGAATTTTGATCTTACATAACATTTTTTATCGACATTTAATGAAAAAAAAATGTTATATGTTAAATGATGTTTCTCAAAAATGTACGAAATTATTTTTAAAAGTTTTCATTATGCTAATATAAACATATTATGATAGAAATGTCAAAAATAGAGTATGGATACTCGTTTTCGAGTTACATAATTGCACTTATAACAGCAAAAAAAAAAAATGGATTTGGCCAAAAACTGGATTTACGTAAATTCTCATTTTTTTTTAAATATTACTGGGAATTTTTATTTTTGACCATTGGAATACAAGAACTAAATTCATTTTCCACCGGGAATGATACTAGAAAATTGAAGCATTTGAACAATTAATTCTAACCTAAAATCTGTGTTATCATTAACAAAAAACTTCTATTCTTAGAAAATAAAACAATATTTTCTGAACAAATATTTTTCTTAGGGACTTGAATATTATTATTTTTTATACGTAACAACATTTTCAAAATATTCAAATTCATTTTAAGCTTTTTATGCCACGAACCTATCATAACGTACAAAAGCAGTATGTTGGTGTGGACTCAAAAGTTAATAAGTGCTACTTATATTATAATAATTAATATATATATATAATTAAAGTTTAATACATATTAATATAGAAGATTAATTTTTGAGCAATAATTAATTTCTACAGTCTGTCTTGACTTCAGAAACCTTATTCAATGTAGAGAATGATTTATTATTAATTTTAAAATTAGTACATCTCAACTTTTTAGTTTTTATATGTATGTCAAATAAATAACTTCTTTCTAAAATTAAAAACTATAATTTATTAGATATAAATAAAACATTTCAACGTCATGAATAATGTATTTCAATTATTATTGAAATTATTTTAATATTTTGAACAGTAAACTAAAATCACATTATTTTTTTCTTTCTTATATTACTAACAAAATATTATTTATATACCTACTAAAAAAAGACAATTTATCAGTCTTAAATGTTTTAAATATTTTTAAGTATACATAATAAATGTGTCTCACATATAACTTGAAATAGTTATGCATAATAAAAAAAAAAAATACATGGATAGTTAAATCTCCTTTTCATTTGTAATTAAAATATTACTTTGTTGAAATATATTTTAAACAGTTAGACAGTATAAATTTATTCTGGAAAACACAAAATATCTGAAAGAGTCCGGATAGTTGATCTTCGATTGTATTGGTCTTCTGGAACGATTATATCATCCCTGACAAATGTCACCATTACTTGTCTACAAACAAAAGAGATAATGAGTAAATTATTATTGTACACTAATAAATTTACAAAAAAACATGTAAAATTGTATTTTCTTACTAAGGATAGTTTAATTAAAATATTGAAAATAAGTTATGTGTACATATAAATATGTTAAAATTATTATTATTATAAAATGAAAATTGTTAATTAAATGTTTATTTTATATTCTGAGCGGAGCGAGGAAGCTAGTGGTTTTACAATGGTGTTTAATTTTTTTTTTTTTATATAAAATTCTGTATATACAATTTCTAACAGAAGGAGTCCTTCTATTTCAACATATAGTACTTTATCTTTTAGAAAATTGGATCAAGGTGTTACTTTAAAGGGGTCATTTTTCAATTTTATCAATAGTTATTTCATTCTATGGTAAAAACCACCGAAAAATTACGAAGAAACCGCTAAAAATTGGATTTTAATTTCTAACCCTTTGTATATTACCATAGAAACGAATAAAAAATAATAATATTATAATATTAACTGAACTTAAATGATATAATAATTAATAACAATATAAAATATCCAGACTGAGAAACGGGCAGAATCGTGTTTCTTATAGAATGATAGAATATCATTGAATTCAAGTTTAATACAATCCATTATACAATGACCCACTTAGAACCTACTGTACAGCAGAACAAAATCCACTTACCCGATTTTTACATTTTATATTAGGTAAAAATGTAAAACACATTTTATATTTACTCAGTGGGTATAAAACATAAATTATAATTATTTTACCTATTTCCAATGATCTCTTTGAATGCTTCACTTTCATCATAGAAATCTCGATAGTTGTCATTTGAAACAACCACTCCGTTACATTTATGGGCATAGTTGAGTATAATTCTATGGAAAAATAATAATAATAAAGAAGATGGTGAATGTAATTTTTAAAACAATTTACTGTAGTTAATCAGTTATATATTCATATATCATATACTTAATAACTATATTTTCAAACCTAAATTTGTCAAAATTCAAATCCATAGGTACTGGACTAGATTATAGAGGAATTTTGTGGTGTTTTATCCCTTCCCCACCAACTAGTAATATTTCATAACAAGTCAACAATTTGTTAAAAACAAAAAGTCGGCTGTCAACAAATATCAATTGAATATTGAAAAGCAATCATGAAAAAAAATATCGATTCAGAAATTGATTAGATTAATCACTAAATTATATAAAACACGTATAATATTATCATTATCTCATATTAGAGATGATAATCAAAGTTTTAGTGACATGATTGATTCAGCTGAACAGTTTGCTACTAGGTTTCAGTATTGATGCTAAATCTGATCTTTTGAAAAATCATCAAGACGGATACAGGAAAAATGTTTTCAAAAAATATAGATCCAAATTCAAATAATCAAGTCGTTGATTTAAGTATGAACAATTTTTACAAAAAATAATTTTACCTAATTGATTTTAGACACATTAATAAATAAATTATTAGACAATCTTTCTAAGTGCATGCAAACTATTTCACCTTTATTCATATTTTTAAATCAACTAAATCTGATGAAGATAAAATATGCTTTCGACAAGAATCTAGTAAAAAAGATAGTTTCTTTGTTTGCACCAACAAGTGCTAAGGGCCATATAATTGACTGACTTAGAATCAGTCGGAGTTAAGCTAAATCTAATACGTTTTCTAATCATTAAATTACCGGTCATCATGACATGTCATCCTTCTGTTTTTGACCACTCGGCTAGGTGTAAAACAAACTTGCCCTTTTTTAAATAAATTATTTAAGATAGTGTTTGTTGTAGACCCAGGGGTTCCCTTTCGATGTTGTGGAATGAATGCTATTATATTTGTATGTCCTAGATAAGTGAAATATTGTATACATAATTCAATTCCTCTTGCCGAAAATGTTCCTGAACCATGTCTAAAAACAAATCAATTTTATGATTTAATATTTTGACGATAGTCAAAAACTTAAAGTTGAATAATAAATTTTCCTAATGTAGGAAACTGTAAAATATATATAAATATAAAATTAGAATATTTCCAAGTACTTCTGTTAATATCACATTAAAATTGTTTTTGATCTTAATGTTTTCTTAAGCTATAATTATCATTTTTGTAATGAAATAATTCAAATTTTAAGAAACAAAACTCACGAAAATCCAATATTTAATCCATCAATGATAATTGGTCGTAGTTTTCTTTTGGTTCTAAATGTTGTACCTGTTGAAGATACTTGTGGCTTGAACTTCTTAACAGGATTTTTTTCCAACGTAATAACATTCTGTGAGTTTGAAGAATTTTTTTGTGTATCAGTAATAAATCCTCCTAAGTTGTCACCCAATTTAGTTACATTTACCTCTTCCCGTTTCCTTTTAAGGTTACATAAAGGACTATTATATGAGCTTTTATATGTGCCTTTTGTAGGAACACCTAGACGTTTGTGCATGGATTTAAAACTATTTGGTTTTTCAACAAATTCTTGATTTGATGTATTTTCGTCATCACTCTGGTCTGATAGAGTAATAAGTTCAATAGATTTATTTTGATCACAAGTACGAACATAAATAATTTGGATATCATCATCATCGTCATTAAACGATATTGTATGACTTGAAAATTGTTTATGGGCACCTTCATTTGTATTGCTTGAGGTAGTAGTATCGGTAATATCTATTATTTCATGATTATTGATGTTTAGGGCAGTTTTTTTTTTATTTATAGTTGGAGGGTTTTCAAATGTACTATCATCACCGGCAATATCAATAATATCTATAATTTCATGATTTGTAATGTTTGGTACTGTTACTTTGGAAGAAACCGTTTTTATACTTTTAAGTTTATCAGTAGAAAGGGAATTGTCAATGTTATCCTCTATTACATCAACTGCTACCATTTTGGATGTCATTTCTTTTACAATCAATCTCTTAGAATTCTTAACAGACCACCTTTTGAATAATTTTAGACTTCTCCTCCTATTCTTCACTTTTCCCATCATATATCTGTAAAATACATTTAATACTAATTAATTATACTAAGACATTTTACAATGATTTTTATTTGATAAGTTATAAACATATAATAATTCAACACAAATAGTAAGCCAAAAACTGTTATTTATAAAAAGATATAGTATCAACTTTGTGGAAAATGTAAAAAAATGAGTAGTTATCCAAACTATTTTAAATTTTTCAAACTTATGAGTATTAGAGAACTAAAATTAAAATAACTTAACAGAGTTAACTAATACTTATAATAATTATTGTTTGTTACAGTAATTTTCTAATATTAAATATATTTAAACCATATTTTTCTAAAAACTCTTTACTTAGATAGTTAGGTACATACAATATTATACTTTTCATATTTAGAAAGTTTATTTATTTTTATAGCTATAATCATTGGACAATACAAAATATCACAAACCAATAATGTTTATACTGATAAGACTGGTTTAGTCGAAACATAGAATAAATAATTTCATTATAATTTTTTTTGTATTTGTGTAACATTAATCAATATTAATAATATGAAAAAGAAGTGTAAATTATTAGTAAATCAAATGTATCTATTTTGTGGTATAAATATAGTATAACCTTAGATCATATACTAGTATATGATCTAAGAGTATAACAATCTTACCATTGAATATAGATTTTAAAACGGATACTCATTGACAGTGACATGTTCAGCTTTATAAAATATGAGGGGAATCTCTATGTACAAGATATTAAAGGTTGAGTTCACAAATTTAAATACATATATATGTGGTTGAGTCAAAGGTTTAGTTTATATTTATTATACATCAATAAATTATACACACCTAGTTCATGCATAAATGAGAAATAAAAATCCATGGGGATATGACACATTCTTTGAGCAACTCCTTTCCTACTCAAATGAAGAAAAGAATTTTTTATGTACAATAAGAATTTATTATGTTATCACCAAAACTCAAAAAAAAAGCTAATTATAGAAACGTAGAAACTGAATTAGATTTTTATTACATGTGGCAATCATTTTATTGCACAAAGCAATACAGAGTAAAATTAACAGTATTTGAGTTTTTAAAAATGTAATTTAGATAGTTCCGCATGTGATTGAAATGTTGAGCTTTAGTTATGGTTTACTATTTTACTATGACGTGTGGATCTTAGATCATAATACACAATGGTTGGAGCCATGCCCCTCTCACCTGTATAAACAATTTGACACACATATTATAAGGGACTAGTCTCTGAATTAGATGGTGGAAATCCACATGTATCACATATTTAGCCGTTGGTCACTGATTGATATATATTTATATACTTGTCCATAAATAAAATAAAATAAAATAAATAAATAAATACCAAATTCAAATAGATGGATAATATGCTACATCTCTCTATTCTTAAGTGTATTCGTCTAATTCAGAAACTCGTTGCTTATATGTGAGTCAAATTTTTTAAACATGTAAGATGGGCATGGTTCCAACCATTATAAATGAACTAGTTGACCCAATAGAACATTTGGTATACCTCAAATTAATCAAGAAGCCACTCTCATTTTTAGTTTAGTTTAAATTGAAATGTTCTGTGATAATATCACTGTATATTATAATATATATATATATATATATTTATATATATATATATATTATATAAAAACTATCCAGGATAAATTAATCTAAAACTGCAGTGCTGCCAAACAAAGTATAAAAAAGTTACTAGACGGTGTTCTCCAATCTATCCTATTGTTAGGCTCACCGATCTGGGTAGACAGAATAGGTCATCTAGCGAAGAAAACACTCTTAATAATGCAGCAAAACACGGCGCTGAGGATCACATGCGCTTATAAAATGGTCATAATTTGTCAAAATTTGTCTACAGATACGCTAGTGACAGCGTTCCTGTCACCAGTTGACTTGCTAACTGTAGCACAAAAAAAGACACAACAAGAAGATGAGCACATTATACAGCACAATGTACAAGCGAGAGAAGTGAAAACCTTATAGATAAAATGGCAAGAAGGGAATCTATATTGTCAGGTCTATGGACACACACCAACAGATAAATAACATAGAGATATAGATAAACAGAGGTCATGGTGAAGCCACCTTTCAGTTACAAAAGCACTGACCGGCCATAGTTGCTTTCCAGCTTATTTATTATTTACACAGGTTTGGAAAACTGCAGTCGGCCGCCTTCTGGTACTGCTAACCAGATAAATACCACATGCAACACACTCTTTATCTGTAACACCTTTTTTAGTCAAATAACACAGCAAATTGGAATTTTGGAAAAGTAAACGAATCTCAATACCTCAACATGATGCTAAGCAAGAATAATGATTGGACACAAGACATTTTTAGATTGATGTATTCAATACACAGTAGATATTAGATGTGAACAACTTCTTAAAATATAATCAAAAATAGGTACCTATATGGTATAGTATAAGAAATGTTAACCAAATCAGTTTACAAATCAAATCTATATTATGTATTTTAGAAGCTCTGAAAAGAACTGATGGTGGTCCTTAAAAGGACCCTTTAGAAAATGTGCTTGATTTTATTGTTGAAGGGGGTGTGGAGGTTATGGAGTTCTTTTTCTATTTAGAAAATATTTAGGTGTTCCACTTTTAATTATACACTGTAGTAATAGGTGACTATGTATATAAACAAAATAATAATCATATTTGTAGAGTAGGCCAGGGAAGCAAATATGCTGAGGCAGATAAATTGTAAAATAGATATAAGGCGAAAAGAATAGTAAGTGAGGGCAGTCGTGGTATGTCAATACTGCGAGATACGTTTGATTGTTAATTTTGTGTTTGTTTATATAAGTTAATAAAAAGTGTTTCTGACCCGAAAATTATATGTTTTGTTTGAGTAGCCACACAATTCTACATACTCCTTAAATCTGATCTGTAACCGGTTAATTTATGGTCGTTGAAGATTGAAAGTCTAAACAGTGAGGTAGCGATATCGACGTCTGGAGAGCCAAACTTTAACCGTTTAATTTATGGTATTTTGGTAATTCTAGCGACGATCATAGTCAAAAAAAAAAAGAAAAATCTAATAATTATAGTACCTTTTAGTTAGTTTCTTAACAAATCGACACATGAATCGAATTATGTAAAATGATATAATACAGAATTAAATATTACCATAACGGGAAAAAAGGCCACTTTTTAGGAATATTGACTATTATCGTTTTTCCCCGTAACCCTTCATATTAAATTGAGTTATAAACATTTTTAAATTCTAATATTTTACATAATTACCTATTATTTATAACTCAATTGAAAATTAAAATATCAATAAAATCTTATGCGGTCTCCTAGATAATATTCTTACATGTTAATTTAATAATAGGCCAAATCACTTTAATATTAAAAGTTAACAACATAAAACTGGAATGCAAATATTCTACCTAGTAGGTTTGTAATCTCTGTTTATGTGGGTGTGGGCATGTGGCTTTTACTTCATTTTTTACTTTTATAAAAGTGAATAAAAGTATCTAAAAATCTGGACTCTACTTACATGTAAATACAATTTGTTTAGTTTAATGGAGTTTTATCTGTTAATGATTATTGTAATGTTGTTAGATAAATTATTTTTGTTTTAGTCCACAGTTCTAGTTATAGTAACCTATTTTCTGCTCCAGACATACTATTACGTTCCTTTATTTTATAATATTATTATTTTTGTCGTGAACTGTGAGATTTTAAAAAACATTACTCGCATTATTTTAAACTTATAATATAATTAGATCTTATAGATAAATAATATTTTATTTTATATAGCTTAAATAGGTTGATGAACATATGATATAGTGTAGCAGTGAGAAGGTTAAAGCAGGTCTACACGACATCATGGACGTACATTTGAACAGTGCACCCTAATAATGATACGCCAAATATATATTTTTGTAGCCATTTTTTAAAATGCCATGACATTCTACTAAAACTAAAAAGGAGGTTCTTCAAAAATTTTACATACCTACGCCAATATTTAAATATGTCTGTTAACAAATTGCTGCTGGTTGTATCATAAACAGTTAATGCTGTGTAGTAGTGGTGCCCAGGCTAATACTGAAGTATTGTACTCTCGAATACTCTAAAATAAGATAATAATATAATATAATAGGTTTTTATTAATATCTGTCTATTTAGTGTAAAATATAAAATAGTATACGGAATAAGTAGTTAAGAACACCAACAAAATAAAATATTAAAAACTTTAATTGTGTAGGTATTCAGTGGTTGGAACGTATCTTTTAAAAAGGGATAATTAGTTCACATTCAGATTCATCTTGTTAAAACTCTAAATCATTTCTCGGCTTAAATAAAGGAACTAGTTCCTTTCCTCTTTCCTAAATAAAGAACATTTTTTGTTCATCCATAATTTTAAAATTGTTTTATTATAATTTGTAGGTAGTAATAAATTGTTTAATTTTTTAATATAATGTATAAAGTTAAGACCAACAAGAATACTGTGACTGACTTGAAATGTTGTAAACATTGTCAATATTATCGTATATTGTCATATTGACAACATTTCTAAAAAAAAAATTATAAAACTTGATAAAAAAATTATTTAAATTCCCTAAACTTAGTAATAAATGAAGGAAAAAAAGAACAAATAAAATTGTTCATGGTCTTCTAAGAAATGAACGAAATTTCAATATGTTCCTTCATGTAATAAGTTCATACCTTTCTTTGAACCCGTTCCTTAAAAGCACATTTATATTACAGATTAATACTACCTATATTTTACTTAATTTGTATAATTAAAGACATTAAATAACAAAATTCACTAGGTACTGATAAGGAAATTCAAAAAAATGGTTTTGACAAGAAGCACCATTTTTAATTAGATAAAACATATACTACAGAGGTACAAATGTACAAGGCTTAACTAACTAACTTCTCAAATAAAAATTGTTACTTACTGATTATTCACAATTCACGTGGGTGTATGTTTTGGGTCGACTTTATAATTGTGATACTCAG